GGAGTATGAAGGAGATCACGAAACGCTTGGTTGCTGTCGGTGCTACTCGCCTTCCAGAATGGGGACCGCGTGATCTTCACTGTGCCTGGTTGGAGACACTACAAGATATGGCTGCCAACCGATGTCAGTGGCGTTCTTGTTGTCAGTTTCTATCCAGATTGGTGAAGTGAATGTCTGGAGGTGTAGGCACCTCGGAATGATTGTGGTCAGCTAGCACTATGTCACTCCCCTGTCCACCTTTACTCTTTTCTTTACAATAAGGCTTTCAAATAAGTCATGGTTGTACGGCAGTGAAGCATCGGTGTTGAACACTGATGTCATACTGTCGATGATGATGATGATTCTCAAAATCATGACTTCGCAGTTAGGTGTTCTGGTGGCGTGTCTTTGGCGGAGCATAAGGTACTTCGTTCAAGGAATGCATGCAATGCATGCGAAGATGAGTGTACCGTGTGTTAAGCTTGCCGAGTTACTGTCTGCCGAGAAGGGTTTTGTTTCACATTCCTAATCTCAGTTGGTGGAAGCCCAGAGGTGGACGGAATATGACATGGCAGAAACGCTATTGGTGCTCTTCGCTTTCCAGGATGAGGTCCACGTGATCTTACTTCTGTGCTTCACGTGCGACCCTGAACGATATTGTGGCTAACCGGTGTCATGCTGTCATTTTTCATCCGGATCGTCTGCATAGATTCTGGAGGTGCTGGCAGGCTAGCTCTAGGTCTCCCTTTCTATCCGGTATCTTCACTTTCCATTGTAAGGTTTTATTCAAATAAATATACATGGTCGTAGGACAATGAAACACCAGTGAGCCTGAGGTATTTCCCACTTATTATACAATAGGCATTGGATCTCTGTTAAGACTAGCTTAGTTGGAGGCGGATGAAATATTCGCTGGGGTGCCAACAACGTCCAACTCGATGAATCACCCTATCACAAGTCAAACTAATTATCCCCGCTGAATGGGAAGCTTTTTGGGTCCAGATGGCCTAAGAAAGGTAAGAAGCGAAAAGTGATGGAAATATCTGCGGGTTCACTCCCTTGGTTCGCTTAACAGGCCACCCTGCGTACCTTGTCGGCGAAAACCCAAAAAATAATAATCGTTCAGCCGCAACACGCTTTCGGCACTTGGTTGCCATATCACCCGAAGAAAGCACGAGGTCTGAGATACTCTCAGGTCGCCCAAATCCAATTAGGAGCACTCGGGATGCTGTGGATAGTTTCGAACCACGGAACTTCTCTAATTTCGCGCCGTGATAAGTAAGCTCTCTCGAGCTTCAAGTTCGGAGCTATCTCGAGCTCAACCACTGAGATACCCCCTTGAATGTATCAAGGGGGCATACTAGTTGTCTAATTTCCAACAAGGAGTAATGCATAAACGCTGGACAGAATCACCCCAGGAAGATTTCAGCTGGCTACTTGTCATTTCCATTGTGAGCTGCCGGCCTTGAAAACAAAGATGGACTGATAATAGAGCTATCTCCAGCCTCAAATGTATTTCACCGTTTACTCTGCTCAGGCGTTACCTTGCTGCGACGTGATCCTCACTGTGCCTGGTTGGAGACACTACAAGATATGGCTGCCAACCGATGTCAGTGGCGTTCTTGTTGTCAGTTTCTATCCAGATTGCCTGAGTGAATGTCTGGAGGTGTAGGCACCTCGGAATGATTGTGGTCAGCTAGCACTATGTCACTCCCCTGTCCACCTTTACTCTTTTCTTTACAATAAGGCTTTCAAATAAGTCATGGTTGTACGGCAGTGAAGCATCGGTGTTGAACACTGATGTCATACTGTCGATGATGATGATGATTCTCAAAATCATGACTTCGCAGTTAGGTGTTCTGGTGGCGTGTCTTTGGCGGAGCATAAGGTACTTCGTTCAAGGAATGCATGCAATGCATGCGAAGATGAGTGTACCGTGTGTTAAGCTTGCCGAGTTACTGTCTGCCGAGAAGGGTTTTGTTTCACATTCCTAATCTCAGTTGGTGGAAGCCCAGAGGTGGACGGAATATGACATGGCAGAAACGCTATTGGTGCTCTTCGCTTTCCAGGATGAGGTCCACGTGATCTTACTTCTGTGCTTCACGTGCGACCCTGAACGATATTGTGGCTAACCGGTGTCATGCTGTCATTTTTCATCCGGATCGTCTGCATAGATTCTGGAGGTGCTGGCAGGCTAGCTCTAGGTCTCCCTTTCTATCCGGTATCTTCACTTTCCATTGTAAGGTTTTATTCAAATAAATATACATGGTCGTAGGACAATGAAACACCAGTGAGCCTGAGGTATTTCCCACTTATTATACAATAGGCATTGGATCTCTGTTAAGACTAGCTTAGTTGGAGGCGGATGAAATATTCGCTGGGGTGCCAACAACGTCCAACTCGATGAATCACCCTATCACAAGTCAAACTAATTATCCCCGCTGAATGGGAAGCTTTTTGGGTCCAGATGGCCTAAGAAAGGTAAGAAGCGAAAAGTGATGGAAATATCTGCGGGTTCACTCCCTTGGTTCGCTTAACAGGCCACCCTGCGTACCTTGTCGGCGAAAACCCAAAAAATAATAATCGTTCAGCCGCAACACGCTTTCGGCACTTGGTTGCCATATCACCCGAAGAAAGCACGAGGTCTGAGATACTCTCAGGTCGCCCAAATCCAATTAGGAGCACTCGGGATGCTGTGGATAGTTTCGAACCACGGAACTTCTCTAATTTCGCGCCGTGATAAGTAAGCTCTCTCGAGCTTCAAGTTCGGAGCTATCTCGAGCTCAACCACTGAGATACTGATAAGTAAGCTCTCTCGAGCTTCAAGTTTGGAGCTATCTCGAGCTCCCCTTGAATGTATCAAGGGGGCATACTAGTTGTCTAATTTCCAACAAGGAGTAATGCATAAACGCTGGACAGAATCACCCCAGGAAGATTTCAGCTGGCTACTTGTCATTTCCATTGTGAGCTGCCGGCCTTGAAAACAAAGATGGACTGATAATAGAGCTATCTCCAGCCTCAAATGTATTTCACCGTTTACTCTGCTCAGGCGTTACCTTGCTGCGAATGACCTTTATCCCTGCTCTGGTCAAGGAGGATGGTGAATTCATTGGCAATTGATCTGGTGGCTGTGGATTTATTCGCAGGCTTTGGCAGCTGATTTACATACGTTTCGTTATCACTCATGGAGACATCTCCAGTGTGCTGTTAGGTTGGGTGGATTCCTTGGTCATCATTCGGTTAAACTTTTACCATCCCAGACAGCTGGAGTGCATCGGTAATAGTGCCCATCTTCAAAAAGGATACTCTCAGTGGATATAGTAATCACAGGGACGTCAGGTAGGTTCCCGTTATATTGGGGCTTCTGGTGTCACTGGTTCTTCGTCACTCGCGAAACCTTGACCGGTGCGCATCATAGGGATTTCGACCAAGTGGAGGCTTCGGTGACTAGGTCCTCATATCCCAACAGGTGTCAGAACCGCGTTGCTTGTACAGACGACTCAAGTTTGTTGGTCCGCTGATTCCCGTGAATCTGGCGGCATTGCATCAGCTATCGCCTTCACTGCCTATCTCTCCACCTCCGCCACACCGGACAAAGAGATCCATTCGATGTCGATGATTTGATCGGGCCCTCACCCCAACGCGTGGCTATGATTTCCTTATTCTTTTTATCCTTGCTGAACGAAGTTGTAGCAGCTGGAACCACTATTTCGGTGCATGGTTTGTAAGCCGAAAATCTGTGCTCAAATGAACTAGGAATCTATCAGTCCTAACCACGCTTGCCCAACGGGGAACGCTCCTAAAGTCCAACGTAGTTGGATCGCCTGGTAGGAGACTAAAATGATGATGTTGAGAAGGGTATAAAGAAGATATTGATATGAAGGCGAAAAATCGGGACTTTGCTTGAACAGGATAACAAGCACGGGAATGTTCCTTCTATTTGACACATTGACTTGTCAGAACCTATCCTTCTCTTATTATCAGTGCTTTTGCTTGCCGAGATCTGCGCACCTTGTTCAGTGACAGGCATGTATTTTTATACCTCTTCCTGCTCTCATTTCGGTGTTTGATGTAATTCCTGTCATGAGAGTTGGCCATTCCAAGTTCGAAAGGCGTGACTTTGCCAAGGATGGTGATAGCTATTTTTGCACCGGTTTACGGGCATGTTTTGGGCTGGTCACTCAGTACACTGTTGCGTACCGTCACTGTCGATCAAGAGTCCAGCAGAAGCTATCCGTGATCGAAGTTAGAAAGCGTCCCTGTTTCGCATAAAAGCTACGTGTCCATAGCCTTGAAAAAGGCCTGATTACTTGTAATCCCCATAACCTCCGCATCTAACCAGTAGTCGGACCCTTTTCAATTCCATGGCCGACTAGATAGCAAGTAAGTAAATTTCGCTCTAAACCTAGGAACACGTCGGTTGGTTGAGATGTCGATATGCGAATGTCTTGACTATCAGTTCCATTAATCCCGCACTTGCTGCTACTTCTGCCCCAGCAGTTAGTTTTATCGTAGAATTTGTCAAAGATATCGTTGCAAGTAACCCCAACCAGAAAACGATTATCAATTCCATAGCGAAAAGTACGTGTTTTTAGCAAAATATCTGTAGGTGGAATGCTGTTTGTATCAACTTCGATGTGATAACACTCTCATTTGCAGCTCTGCTGCCTACACATGGTTGCATCCCAAAACAATGTCTGCTGTCTTCGAGATTATTTAAGATAATATGTTCCCTCACTATGGAATGTCACGCATTAGCAAGTCGATGAGTAAACTTGATTGTTTGCACCGACTTTTTTTAACGTGGTATGTTGTACGTTGCAGTTTTATTAGAATTTTTCAATAAGCTGCCCCGTTTCTACATTTACTCCGACCAGCCCTTCCCTCGCGCCTTGAACCTTGTGCAACGTTTATTGCGCTACACATGCCAGAACCGGTGTGATATATTTCTGTGTTGCCGGCAGTCATGTTCTTTCTCCACACGTTCCCTACGCGCGCGGAATCTTACCTCGATGTCTGGGGTTTGTCATACTCACTGCTTTTTTACACTTGTATTCCAATTAAAGAGGTGGATAGTACAGAGATTCAGTTCTCCGAATGGAAGTATTACGGGCGGCAGCTTCCCGAACCCAAATGGACTCGCAAGTACTGCGTGTGTTTGGAGAACGAGCAGAGATTCTTAATCTTCCCATCATATCAGGTATTTATTTGTGCTGTTGAGGAAATGTTGCATGGACCTACCTAACGGCCTTTTGTTTGTGCTAGGAGTCGTTGAATTGCGCATCTGCAAAGCATATTCCAGTATCTATCATTGGACGGCAACACACGGAACGTCCCTTTCTGGCTGTCAGAAGAGCATCGTGTCTGTTCCACGAGATTTCGGGTAAGCATTAGTTTATTGTTTACTGTTTGTTGCTTTGCTTCTGTTCGTACGGTTTCGGCCACACGACGTCTGCATTTCGATGTTTAAATGCAGTTCGTAGTTTCTTTTGTAAACGTAGCTGAACTGCTGCTACTGTATGTATCGGGAAGCGTCATCTCGATTGTTTCTTACTGTGATTCGGTGGGGCTACGAATACCGATATTAATCGACCAGTGATATGCTAGATGTAAAGTTGATCTGATCAGACCTGGTAACAGAAACCCTAGATTCAGGGATAATTAGTCAATAATACACAAGAAGTTAAGTTTGTCGATGCGTAAAATTCTTTTGGGAACTGTCACGACTAACAGAAGTCCATCGTTCCGATAGTTTACCTTTGAATCAGTTGACCGATGGCACTTACAGTCCGTTTTCATTTGCTGTGAATCTAGTTATCAGACGGAATGTATCCATGTCATCTTCAGTTCATTCTGATTTTTAGTTGTACTGAGTTCAGCTGTATGGCAATCTTGAGTCACTGGTTATCTACAGTTCAGTTCACTTAAATTTTTGTGCTTATTAACGGTGAAGTGAAGTGAAGTGGTTCTAGCTGTTACTGCGCCAGTAGTATGTTGCACCGTAGTCAGAATACACGGACTCAGTTTTCGTTCGACTCCGTTGCCAGTATAGGTAACAATAGCGCTGAAGTGCGTTCTTTCCGTACAACCTTGGTGTTAATCAGGATAATGTCCACAAGTTGCGTCCAAATTTGCCATCAGAGGTAAAATACGATATATATATATATATATAT